TAAAAGATGTCCTCTAAGTAAAAATGCTTATCAAAGTAAAGAGAACAGATTGAATCCTCCAGGGAGAGTATGTGGGAAAGACTGACATAAAAGATTTATGGACTCATTTAGGAGTGTGCCCTTAGGGCTAGAGCTATTTCTTGTTATAGCCATTTTAAGAATCCTTTCTTTGGTTCTTGGGAAGATTCTGGTTAGATGGTCCATTTGGAGGAATCCTAAAAGTACTTCGTTCTGACAGCTGCAAAAACATCCAGGCTTTTCCTTCCATGTGTCCATGATCTGTAGGGAAGTACATTTCAGATCTGTCCTTTTCCATGTGCTATAGGATGCTTGGCCTCCATTTTGGAACCAAATACAGAGGAGGAAGTTCCGGAAGTCACTTTAACCCTTATACTTTGGAGATGTTATGAACCTTTTACCTTCTGTTTCTCACTCCTCCCATTTATAGCAATATTGTGGTCACCCAAGTTAAAAGTTTTGTAGTGGTGATGGCCTTTGGATTTACTCTTAGAAAGTTTGGTGAGCATGATTGAGTACAAATGCAATAAAATACGGCATAACGGTTATAATGTGCAGATAGGTAATGCACATTATTGCTATACTAGTAGCTAGCTATAAATAGAATAAAAACTTAAAATTTTGAGTCTGTTTATATATGAAAATGAAGGAAGTCAGAGTAATTGCAAGGTTTACTTATTTATCTTTAATCCTGACCTGCACATTATACATAGAAATGCTGTTTTACTTACAGGTTTGGTATTTCTAGTTAGATATGCTATCTTTTCATATTAATCATGAGGTTTTTGGGTTTTTTTAATCCTCACCCGAGGACATTTTTGCATTTATCTTCAGATAGAGTGGGAGGGAGAGAGGGAGGAAGAGAGAGAGAGAAACATTGATGTGAGAGAAACACATCGACTGGTTGCCACCCACACGACCCCATCTAAGGCCGGGGACAAACCGCAACCGAATTACATGCCCTTAGCGGGAACCGAACCTGGGACTCTCTGGTCCGTGGGCCAACACTCCAACCGCTGAGCCAAACCAGCCAGGGCAATCATGAGTTATTAATATGTGTTTCATTTATGAAGATAGTGCTGTTGATTTATTGAGCCTGAGTTATTTTCTAAATAAAGGTGATAGATACCCCCTGAGCTATTCATATAGTTTCTCCCTAGTCCACTATTGTCACGGACATATATTGCTTTCTAGGTGGCTGGCTGAAGGTTGTAGAATCTTTTCTCGTTGCAAAATGAATTGGCCTGTTCCAGAATCAACCTGTGACTTGATCTCATCAGTAATATATTTGAAATGAATCGTTAGTCCTTTACAATAAATATTTATAAGTAGTTAAAAGGGTAGTATAGGAAGAACCCTGGCTGGTTTGGCTCAGTGGTAAGAGCATCAGTCTGCAGACCAATGAGTGATGGGTTCAGTTCCCGTCAAGGGCAGTACCTTGGTTGCAGGTCGGAGTCCTGTGGGCGGCAGTCACTTGATGTGTCCCTCTCACATTGATATTTCTCTCTCTCTCCCTCCCTTGCACTCTGTCTGAAGATAGATAGAAAAATATCCTTTGGTGAGGATTAAAAAAAGATAGTATGGGAACAAATGTTTGACACTTAACTTCTTATTCCTAGTAGAAATGTTATTCTCTAATAAAATAAAGCATGTGATACTGCCACATAAATAGCAGATCAGTGGAGCAGAATAGAAAGGCAATCGACTGACTGAAATTAAGTAAAATGATCAAGGTTGCATTTTGTATCAGTATGGGGGGGTAGGTTATTTATTAAAAGTAGCCATCTGGAGAAAAATGGGAACTTGCACTTTTAGCATCAAATACTTTCAGATGGGTCAAGGATGTAAAATTTAAAATGAAGGTATTAAAGTATTATAAGAGAACATGGAGGATGTTTTACACCATCTTAGCATACAACTAATGATAATTAATTTCAACGAACAGCATATCCAACTGGAAATACCAAACCTGGAAGATAAGTGAAATATGCATAGCATGTCCATGTACAATATACACCTCTAGGGGGCAGAGGAATGATAAATAAACTTTGCAGTCACTCTGACTTTCTTTATTTTTATGTTTAAACATACAGACTTTTTTATGTATGATGTAAAAGTCATAAAAGGAAAGGACTATAAAAATTGACCACATTTTTTAAATATGCAAAGAAAATCATATATAAAAGCAAAAGACAAATATCAAATTGGTAAAAATATTTGCAGCAGGTATAACAAAGAATATACTTATTTCTTCATTATTTAAAGAGGTTTTACCAATAAAAAAATCTCACCAGCTGCCAGTAAAAGATGGGCATAATTCTCAGGAAGGAAAATTTAGATGACTTTTAAACAAAGTAAGTTAGCCTTATTCATGATAAGAATCAAAAATAGAATCAAAATTAGATACTACTTTTTTTTTTTTTTATCCTTGCCTGAGGACATTTTTTCCACTTTTTGTTCCGGTAGAGTGGGAGGGAGAGAGAGGAACAGAGAGAGAGAGAAACATCGACGTGAAAGGGACACATCGCGTGGCCGCCACCCGCATGACCAACCAGGGCCGGGGACAATGCAACCGAGGTACATGCCCTTAGTGGGAACTGAACCTGGGTCTCTCTGGACCGCAGGCTGATGCTCTAACCGCTGCGCCAAACTGGCCAGGGCTAGATACTATTTTTAACCTAAAAACTGACAGAAGTAAAGTTTGATAACACACTGATAAGGATATATGGAAATGGATACTTTTATACATTTTAAAGGGAGGGTAAATTGGTACAACCAATATGTGTAAAGATATATATGTATGTCACTGCAGTATTATTTGTAATAATAAAAGATTTTACTATTTAAAATGTTTGTAATATTTAGTCCATTACTAAGGGACTCAACAAATAAACTACTATAGCCATAAAAAGAAATACTATATAGCTAACAAAGTAAATATTGAGGCAGATTACATATACAGGTATGGAAAACCATCTAAGATAAATACTTGTTATTAAGTGTGAAAAAAGCAGCCCGGCCGGTGTGGCTCAGTGGTTGAGCGTCGACCCATGCACCAAGAAGTCGCTGGTTCGATTCCCAGTCAGGGCACATGCCCAGGTTGTGGGCCTGATCCCCAATGGGGGGCATGCAGGAGGTGGCCAATTGATGTTCTCTCTTATCAATGTTTCTATCTTTCTCACCCTCCCTCCCTCTCTCTCTAAAATCAATAAAGAAAAAAAATTACAAAAAAAAAGGTATGAAAAAAGCTGCATGCAAACCGATATAGTATTCAACCATATATGTAAGGGAAAAAGGATATTTATGCATATATGTTTATATATGCATAGAATATTTCTGAAAGGTTATAAACGAATAGGGACCAGTAGGTATCACTATGGAAGTGCATGGTTAGGTGTAGCTGGGGTTGAGAGTAGACTTCGTTTTCACAGTATACTCTTGTCTCATGAATTTATATCATAGGCTTCCATCATTCATTCATTCATTCATTCACTCAATAAATATTTGTTGAACTCTGCTATGTCCCAAGCACTATGTTGTTAGATGCTAAACACAGAGCAGTGAATGAGAAAAGAAGCCCCTGTCCTTGCAGGGCTTAACATTCTGAGGGTGGGTGGGCTATTGACAGTTAATAATTTCATAAGCAAATAAATATAAATAAGCAATATGTCAATAAGAGATAAGTACATATCTCCACCAACAAAAAGATTACGACTCACTTTATTGTGATACTCGCTATATTGCGGTGATTTGGAACTGAGCCCTCAATATCTCTGATATATGCCTGTACTCTGGTGAAAAAAATCATAGTAAGTTGGGAAGTGCTGATACAGGCTGGTCAGGAATCTGCAGCAGTGATGACTGAGCAGAGACTTGAAGGAAGCTGGGGAATAAGGCACGTATAAATATCGGGAAGAAAGTTGCAGGCAGGGGAAACTAAGAACAGAGGTCATGAGCCATACATTTGCTTGGCATGTTTTGAGGAACAGCAAGGAAGCCTCTGAATGTAGTGGAATGAAGTAGGGGGAGATGGACAGGTGATGAGGTCAGAAACACGTGGCACAGTACAGGGTTCTTGAATGCAACGTGACTATTTGCACTGACAGATGCAAAGCTTCTGAGCGTGTTGAAGATAATTGCTCCCCAGAGCAGGGTTACTCTGACTGCTGTGTGGGGTAGGACAGTGCTCTTTACTGGTATAATGTGAGCTGCTTATGTAACTTACATTTTTTTAGTAGCCACAGTTAAAGAGGTAAAAAGATACAGGTAAACTTAATTTTAATGATAGATTTTATTTAACTCAGTATATTTGAAATATTATCATTCGACATGTAATCAATATAAACAAATTATCAATGAGATACTGTACGTTTGGGGTACTTAACCTTCAAACTCTGATGAGTATTTTACACTTAGAGCACATTTCAATTTAGATGCTGAATTTTCAACAGTTAAAGTGTAGTGCTACCAAAGCAACAAAGCTGTATTTAATGGGAAAATATTTTATACTACTTTAGTTTTTAAGTTTAAAGTAATTAAAATTCAATACATTTAAAATTTCAGGTTCTCAGTCATACTAGCCACATTTCAAGTGCGTAATAGCCACATGTGTCTGGTGACTACTGTATTGGACAGCATGGGAATGGAGTTGGGGGAGGGGAGGGTCATGCAGAAGCAGGTTGATGAATCAATAACTTAAGAAGAGATGGTGACTTTGACCAGAGTGATAGCAGTGGAGTGTTGAGGAGTAGTTGTATTGAAGGCATATTTGTAGGGCTGACAGGACTTATTATTAGAGTGAATGTAGGATATGAAAGAAAGGGAGGAGTCAACAGCAATCTTTTTTTTTGTCTGAACAGTTGAAGAATGGAGTTGACATTTATTGAGATGAAGCGAGAGATGGGAGAAGGAGGCTTCTGGGTGGGATGGAGAGCAGTCAGGAGTTAGGTTTCAGGTGTTAAGTCGAGATACTTGTTAAACAGCACAATGGAGATGCCAGAAATGACAGCTGGATATGTGACTCTGAAGCTCAGGAGAGGTTTAATCGCGAGAGCCCTCAGATCACCTAGTGAGGAAGAATTGACGGAAGAGTTGGAGGACCAAACCAAAGAGCTTCTGAATGTTTTTAGAGAGGAGGAGTCGGTGATCGAGACTGAGAAGGAGAAGCCAGTAAGTTAGAAGAACCCGTAGAGAATGGTGGTTTGGATGGTAAGTGAAGAGTGTTTCAAGGGAAGTTGCGATTTATTTATTTATTTTTAAACCATCAAATTTGGCTGATAGGTTAAAGTAAATTGAAAATTAAGAGTTGACCACTGGATTTACCGACATAAAGATGATCTTGACAAGAGCTGTTCAGTGGGGGAGAAGTGAGAGTGGGTTAAAAACAAAAAACAAAAAACTGGAGAAGTGGAGATTGTAAATGTTGACAGGTTTTGTGAATTTTGCTATAGAGGGCAACAGAAATGAGTTGGAAGCCAGAGAGCTGTGCATTGTTTGTTTTTTAAATGAAAGAAAGAATGCATGTTAATGTGCTGATGAGAATGATCTAGCAGAGAGGGAGATGGTGATGATTCAGGAGACTTTTATTAAAAGAGAGTAGCTAAAGGGATGTCATTTACACAAACACATGAACTACCTGTTAAATAGCCCCAATTGAGGTAACAGAAGAGAAGCAAGAGGGTTCTATAATCTATAATTAGCCTCTTACTAATACATATAAAATTGCATGGCTCACTTTTTCCCATCATTTTAAAATTAAGGTATAATTTACATGTAGTAGAATTACATTTGACAAACACATGCACCATTACAATCTAGGTCATTTTAAAACTTTTATTTAGGGCTGTAGGTTAGCGTGTCCTATGATGTTGGACCCTGTACATATGGGTTATATCATTATTTCTGCTTTGACATATTTGTAAACCCATAAAATAGGCATATTCTTTCCTACAGTAAGTTACTAATTTGGTTCTTTTAGGAGAATGTGATACAGGCTTGGATTTAGGTTTTTCCAAAAGCTAATTGAGGCAAAAAAACAAAAAAATTTTCCCAGAAAGTCTGCTGTGAAAAAATAATTTACACTGGCATCATGCAGACAAACCACAATAATTTGACTGAATTTTTTTTCATTTTAATTGGACATATTGAAGGTGATTAACAGAAACTGGAAGAATTATGAGTGACAGAAATCATTGGTGTCTAGACAATTCTAATGGAAACCAGAAAGATTCCATTTACTCAAGAAATTGAAATAAAATTTGAGCCCAGATTTTGTGCCTGTGCCAAGCTTTGGCATAAGGTTTTTCCTTGCCACTTCCCTAGGTGGTGGATCTCCTTTAGTTAATTCAGGGAATTGCCAGAACCAAAATCCAGGCAGGTCTTTACATTTTTGTTTTTAATATGCCCTGGCCAGTTTGGCTCAGCGGTTAGAGCGTCAGCCTGTGGTCCGGAGAGACCCGGGTTCGGTTCCCGCTAAGGGCACATACTTCGGTTGCAGTTTGTCCCCGGCCCTGGTTGGTCGTGCGGGTGGCAGCCACTCGATGTGTCCCTTCACATCGATGTTTCTCTCTCTCTCTCTCCCTCCCACTCTATCTGTACAAAAAATGGAAAAATATCCTTGGGTGAGGATAAAAAGAAAAAAAAAAAAAAATAAATAAATACATCAAGTGCCAGGAATTGGCTTCTGGACAGTATTGGGCCCCTATTGCCAAGAAGATAGGAATTAAGGCCAGGTACTTATGAAAAATTGTTTAGACATGGTTTGGTTTACTTCTCTTAACCTGGCTCTAATTTCGGGAGACTGGGTATTTGTAACTTATTTTGAGTAAAAAAAACAAAACTTGTATTTCTGCTGCTGAACCTAGTTTATTCGATTAAAGCAAATTGTCTAAATATGTACATGGCTTTATTTCTGAATGTTACTGTGATTGAAATCCCAGTGAGCCCCTTTAATTGCTTCTAAAACAGATTTTATTTTTACTAATTAAAAAATCATATAGATACCTTATTTGCAGACCTTCCTCTTGTTTCAGCAGCTGTAGTGATTCTGTCTCGCTTTCTCTTTTTTTCTTCAGAATGGCAATAGCTTTTTAATTATAAAACAAGTGCATGCATGTTCATAAAATGTTTTTTCAATAATAAAAAAGTATTGAGCCCTGGCTGGTTTGGCTCAGCGGTTGGAGCGTCGGCCTGCGGTCCGGAGAGACCCGGGTTCGGTTCCCGCTAAGGGCACGTACCTCGGTTGCAGTTTGTCCCCGGCCCTGGTTGGTCGTGCGGGTGGCAGCCACTTGATGTGTCCCTTCACATCGATGTTTCTCTCTCTCTCTCTTCCTCTCTCTCCCTCCAGCTCTATCTGAACAAAAAATGGAAAAATGTCCTCGGGTGAGGATAAAAAAAAAAAAAAAAAAGTATTGAGACATTCCTCCATAGCACTCACCAGAGCTAACCTCTATTAAATTTGTTAGTTATCTTGCCAGACTTTTTGCACATGTATAAACTAATGTGTATATGTAGTTTTTAAGATAAATGGAGTCATACTAATAGGAACATTTTTCCATGGCAATACATAATTGTATTGGGGGAGAGGGATATGTTCCATCATATACATGTGCCAAAAGATGTTTAAACATTTAAATTCTTTCCAGGTTTTTGCTTTTATCCACATTGCTGTAATCCTAGGACATGTATACATTGCTTATCTGCTTAGTTTACTAGGATATATATCCAGCAGAGGGTATGCCCATTATCCATTGTGACGTTGCAGAGGCCGGGGATCAGCTTGCTACTTAGGCAATAGAGGGCAGTCGAAAGAATATTTGTTGAAGTGGAAAGAGGCTTTACGATGTGTACAATTGTTTTTAAAGCACTTAAAATTAAAAAAAAATTTTTTTTTCTTTATTCATTTTAGAGAGAGAGGAAGGGGAAGGAGATAGAAACATCGATGAGAGAGAACATAGATTGGCTCCCCTCCTGCATGCCCCCCACTGGGGATCAGGCCCACCACCTGGGCATGTGCCCTGACTGGATTCGAGCTGGTGACCTCTTGGTGCATGGGGGTGCTCAACCAGTGAGCCACTCCAGCCGGGCAAAGCACTTAAAATTTTATTCTCTAACACACAGTTCCATTACTCCTGTAATTACACTGTCAGACTGCCTGCCCTCCAGAAAGGCTCTCCAGTACTCCCTCCACCAAGAGTGTGTTAGCCCCTTGAGTGCAGGGGACAGTGTACTAGGTGCCAAGTAAATATTTTTAAAATGTACCCATTTTGCCACATCTTCACCAACTCAGGGCACTACCTAACTTTAAAAAATATTTTTTTTCTTTATTGATTTTAGAGAGAAAAGAGAGGAGAGAGGTAGAGACATCAATGAGAGGAAACACTGATTGGCCACCCCCTGCATGCCCCTCACCAGGTTCAGGCCCACAACCTGTGCATGTGCCCTGACCATGAATTGAACCAGCGACCTCTTGGTGCATGGGTTGACACCCAACCACTACTGAGCTATACCTGCTGGGCTACCATCTTAATCTTTATCAATCTGGTAGATGAAAAACTTTCTTTTAAAAAGTTTTAATTTTTTTATTATTAAAATCAGGCATTCTTTTTATATGATCACTGACATTTCTATTTCTTCATGTACTCAGCTTATTTTTATATTGAACTTTGTCTTATTATTGACTTATAAGTAGGAAGTTAATTAAATACAAATTCTTGAGGATAGTAATCTAATGACCTATCCGTTGCAAATTTGTTCACCAACTCTGAGATTTGTCTTTTAAGTATATTGGGTCTTTGTTACTTAGAAAATACTTATTTTTAGGTAGTCAAATCTGTCAATCTGTTTTCACTTAAGATTTCTAAATTCTGTAACATGCTTTCATTTTTCCTAATACTTTTACGGTTTTGTTTTGTTTTTAATCCTCGCCCGAGGACATCCTTCCATTTTTTGTTCAGATAGAGTGGGAGGAAGAGAGAGGAACAGAGAGCGAGAGAGAAACATCGACGTGAAAGGGACACATCGAGTGGCTGCCACCCGCATAACCAAACCAGGGCCGGGGACAAACTGCAACCGAGGTACGTGCCCTTAGCGGGAACCAAACCAGGGTCTCTTTGGACCACAGGCCGACGCTGTAACCGCTGAGCCAAACCAGCCAGGGCACTTTTACGGTTTTAATTTTCATATTTAAAATGTTTTATCTTTCTGGAATTTATTTTTGTGCAAGATGAGCAATTGAAATCTAAGGTTTTATTTATTCAGATGGACAATTTCTTATCTCAACAGCGTTTTTAAAGTTTTCCATCCTTTCCCCATAGGTTTGAAATGCTACCTTTACTGTATGTAGAACTATCATATATAAATGAAGTACTTTCTGGGCTTCAATTTTTATTTTGTTAATTTACTGCTCTGCTTCTTAGCCAGTGTCACGTTATTTCAGTCACTTTTGCGATGTAATAATTTTGAAATCTGGTGGGCTAAAATTCCCTCTTCCACATTATTCCTTGTTTTCAAGATTTTCTTGGCTGTTTCTGCCTTTACTCTTTCATTTTAGAATCAATTTGGCAAATTTATTAAGTTCCCTCTAAATTCTTTTGGTATTAACTGACATGCCAGATCTGGCTTTAATGATATTTCTCTTTTTGTTTTGACTAATGCTTTATATTCTTCTTCTTCTTTTTTGAGTGTTAGGTTTAAATTTAGGGTCAAGCTGTTTACTAACCTTATTACCTTTATTTTGTTTGCTTTACATTTTTTTTGCAAGTTTCTGACTTTTGCTTCTAAAACAGTATATCACAGATGATCTCGTCTTAAACATTCAGCAGCATTAAGGTCATTTAAAAATCCATCTGAGAGCCAGATTTTCCCAGGGCTCTGTTCTCACATGGATCTGTGGTGTGTTCTTCTTTTGCCTGGGACTGAGTTTATGGCATGTGCCTATCAAATACATAGCTCTTCCTCTCCTAGAATCAGATTATTATTTTACAGTTTAGTGGATTCTTAAATGAGTGAATAACCATATTTAGGGAGTTTTGATAATAACCTTAATCGTTAGCAATTAATAAGATGTTATTTTTAAAAATCAAGATTCAGTTACAGAGAGTAAGGAAACTTGATTTCATAACACTGGTTGTTCAGTCATATCTAAGAAACAGTAAACAAAGGCCCTGGTCAGTTTGGCTCTGCAGTTAGAGCTTCGGCCCCTGGACCAATGAGTCATGGGTTTGATTCTGGTCAAGGGCTTGTACCTCGGTTGCGGTTTGTCCCTGGCCCTGGTCGGGGTTGTGCAGGAAGCAACCAATCAATGTGTCTCTCTCACATCAATGTTTCTCTCTCTTGCTCTCTCTCTACCCCTCACTCCCACTCTATCTGAAGATAAATGGAAAAAATATCCTCAGGTGAGGATTAAAACAAAAACAAAAACAAACACAAGGACCTGGTATTTAAATTTACTTCAAACTTAGTGTAAGTTATGAAACCTGTTAAAAAGAAAAGGGCCCGGTTGGTGTGGCTCAGTGGTTGAGCATCAACCCATGTACCATTCGGGGCACATGCCCAGGTTGTGGGCCCGATCCCCAGTTGATGTTCTCTCTCATCGATGTTTCTATCTCTCTTTCCCTCTCCCTTCCTCTCTCTAATCAATAAAGAAAAAAAAATTTTTTTAATTAAGAAAAGGTACAATGTAGGCTACATGACAGGAAGTATGGCATCCAGATTCAGTACTGGCTCCAATCTATGCAAATCACTTTTTATAGTTGTATGCACCTGTTTTGTATCAGGGACTAAACCAGGTGCTAGGGTACAAAGCTGAGAGGCATAACCCACTTATAGTAGAACTACAGGTAAATGATAATAGTTTCATGAAGAACAGAAGAAGGGCCTCCAGGCCCTGGACCACAGAGGCGGGGGGCAGCTTTTCAGGAGGAGGTACCACATAGAGCATAGGCTGGAGAGGTGGAGCCACGGCCCTCACCAATGACGAGACCTTGTACAAATCATTTAACCTCATTCTAGCTCAGTTTCTTCATGTATAAGATGAAGTCGGTAATAACAGAAATCACACTTTTGTCCTAAGCATTAGTGATATTACATAATATATATGAAGATTCTAGAGCAGACTCTGGCACATAGTAATGAGTCAGAAAATGGTATGAAATCCCATATTGAAGTGTTAGGAGGTAGGAGTTATCCCAGCAGAAGGGAAGGTGCACGCCAAAGCCAGTGTGGTTAAACTGGGGCCTTTCCGGACTGCAGAGTATTTCATGATTGGTGGGTGGGGTGCATGTGGGGGAGTAGCTAAGATGAAGCTGGGAAGGGGGGCAGGGGTGAGATCTCCCAACAGGAGCTTTGGGCCATGTGGAGGAGTCCAGACGCCATTTAAGAAGTGTTGTAGGGTCTTTGAAGGCCTGAAGTTTAAGGGGAGTGTCCCGAACAGTGTTACCAGTGGAAAAACTGGTTTGTTATAGATGTGTGGAGAGGCTAGGAAAGCTGTTTGAAGTAGGCAGTCCACTCAGAGCAGTGGTGCTCAGCCCTGGCTGCACGTTGGAACCTTTTAACGGTCTGGTGCCCAAGTTGACTCCGTATCAATTATATCAGCAGCCCTGGGGGTAGGACCTGGGTATTGGTGTTTTTTATTGCTTCCCAGATAATTCCACTGCACAACCATGGTTGTGAACCGTGGTAACTGCATTCAAACCAGATTTGATAAAGTTCCCAATTAAAGAAGTGCCCACCATCAAAAGCTTTGAACCACGGTAAAGAGATACCAAGAACCAGGGTTAAGAGGTACTAAGTAGGATATAGTGCTCAGTTGATTGAGGAGGGGCTTGATTATTTCCGGATTGGGTCGCTGGGTGGATGCTGATCAATGCTCAGTTGTATACCAAGACTGAGACTGTGAAAGAGAAGCAGATTTGGGTATTAGGCTTTATTGAGTGAGCAAGAGAAAGGTAAAGAATGTAATTTTAAAATGTGAATATTCGCCCTGGCCGGTTTGGCTCAGCGGTTAGAGCGTCGGCCTGCAGTCTGGAGAGACCCAGGTTCGGTTCCCGCTAGGGGCATGTACCTCGGTTGCAGTTTGTCCCCGGCCCTGATTGGGTCGTGTGGGTGGCAACCACTTGATGTGTCCCTTTCACGTGGATGTTTCTCTCTCTCTCTCTCCCTCATACTCTATCTGAATAAAATATCGAAAAATGTCCTTGGGTGAGGATTAAAAAAAAAAAGTGAATATTCAAGGGAAATCATGCACAAAAAAGTAGGCAGAGAGAAAGACTGAAGGGGAAGAGCCAATGGCATAGTTGGAAACTCAGCGAACAGAGTACATAATCGATGCCTGAGACCCTTGAGGAGACAGGGGGTGCGAGCAGACATGAAAGAAGTAATTTATATGAGAATTTCCACTCAGAGAGAAATAAGTAAAAATATGTGCGGGTGCAGATGAGTTCACAGGTTGAGGGGTTGAGGAAGAAGGGCTGTGCGCTGCCTGGTGGTCTGATCCCTAACTGCAGGAGATAGGAGTGTCTGCTGAGAATGCGGAGGTCAGAGGCGGGGAGGCAGGAGTGTGGGCGAGCTTTGAGGGCTGAGGAAGGGCTGTCTGAGGAAGGAGACGGGCAAGGAGGTATCTCAGTAGTCCTCTTTTTATTTTTTTGATTAATTAATTCTTTAATAGTTTATTGATTGTTAGAGAGGGGGGAGAGGAAAGAAGCATGGATGTGAGAGCACGACATTGGCCGGCTGCCTCCTGCACACCGCTGCTGGGGATTGAACTCGGAGTGCAGCTAACCTCCCTTTGGGGCTCAGAATGACACCCAGCCCCTGAGCCACACAGCCAGGGCTAGTCCTGCTCTTAATGTTGCTTCTCCCCGAGTTTCAGGGTTTACGCTCTTTCACATAATTCCTGGGTGATCTCCTTTGTTATATCAGATTACACTGTTAGCATCTAAGAGAAACGTGATAAACGGAAGTGTGTCTGGAGCAGTTAAGTCATTGATATGGTAGCTCAGAAGATTGTTTATTGGCTTTTTGGGGGGGTGGTTCTTTGACATCTTAATTTAAAATTTAGAGTTGAAATCACATGAAAATACTGCACAGCCCTGGCTGGTTTGGCTCAGTGGTTAGAGAGTCGGCCTGCCGACTGAAGGGTGGCAGGTTCGATTCTAGTCAAGGACACATACCTGGGTTTCGGGTTTGATCCCCTCCCCAGTCCGGGTCATGTGGGAGGCAACCAATTGATGTGTCTCTCTCACATGGATGGTTTTCTCTCTCTCCTCCCCCCTCCCTCCCTTTCACTCTATCTAAAAATTAAAAGAAAAATATCCTCAGGTGAGGATTCACAAAAATAAAAATTAAACAAAATAAAACACTGCACAAATCCCGCAATTTCCAACGTCATTATTCCAGGTAGCATCATGTTTTCTCTCTGTTGTAATAAAACGTCAAAAAACTACCAACTTCATATTTTGAAAATATGTTAACTTTTAGTATAAATATTTTGTATTTATACTATAAAGAAATTCTAATAGATATTTGACTTCATGGTATACTTTATATATATATATATACACACACACTTTTTGTTTACGATGTCTAACAAAGATCTAACTGGATTTCTCAACTCTGATGTAAACTATGCTTTGCATTATGCATTCTCTCAATATTTTTTTCCTCTAACTAAACATCTGGTAGTTAATTGTCGGATAGACTGAACTATTTCAGATTTCCTGTTCAGTAGAACTAATTGCATTCACTACAACGAAGCGGTCGTTGGTATGGCTTTTCAGTAAGCCATCTTGTTTATCATTTGCTTATAAGATAATTATAAATTATTTAAACAAACTAGGATTAGGACTGGGGGGTTAGAAGGTGACCTTGATATTGCAGAACATTAACCCAATGCTTTGATATCATTTCAGGTAACATTTCATTTGTTGCATTTCCAGTATCCAGCACCAACTCACCAACAAAGATTTTACCAAAAACCCTAGGACCGATAAATGTGAATGTTGGACCCCAAATGGTAAGAAAATCATCAAATCTTAGAATTTGAAACTTGACTAAAAATACTTGGTCACATATTTTACTTAATTTCTTATCTCAGTCATTTTTTAAAGAAGTTTTGTTTTTATCTGATGTAACTGCCTAAATCTTGGGAAAAAGAAAGGCACTGTGCTGCCCGATGGCTCATTTCACCGAGTTGACTCGGTTCTGGAGGTGAGGTAGGTGTTTGCTCCCTATCTGAGGCTTTTCTTGTTCCTCCTTGTTTGGCTAAATTGATTTGAAATCTGTTATGTTTTTATGTTCTCTTCCATTTTCTCCTTATAAAATAATTTTTACCGCCCTATGGACTCTCGTATAAATTGAACATGACCCATTAGTTAATCTATATCTGGATCTATTAATTTAAAATCTTTGATAAAGGACATTTGGGGGAAAACAACATGCCACTTCATTTAAATATTTTTAAAAAAATTTTTTTCCTTTATTGATTTTAGAGAGAGAGGAGAGGAGAAGGAGAGAGAGATGGAAACATCGATGAGAGAGAACATCGATTGGCTGCCTCCTGTACACCCCCCACTGGGGATTGGGCCTACAACCTGGGCATATGCCCTGACTGGGAATAGAACCGGCCACCTCTTGGTGCATGAACTGATGCTCAACCACTGAGCCACACCGGCTGGGCTCATTTAAATCTTGAACAGTAGAAATAATGGATGAAAAATGGGAAATATTTAACTGTTTCTCTAAAGGTATTTCATTGATTATGTTAGAGCTTGAAATATAGCACTGTTAGAAAACCTTATGTAAACAAAGTTACATGCAACTGCTCTAAAAACTATACCTAATTTAAATGGCTTCACCCACCATTAGCAAAAAGTACATAAACATTTGAACAACAGCTTTTCATAGTGAGGGCTTACGTGTTCTCATCTACAGAGCAATAAAGATAAAATTTTCCCATAATGTATAGTACTGTGGACTATGTTGAACACAAATTATTTAGACAAAAATATCTTTTAACATTCTTAGTGGCTCCAGAAAGTCTTTAAAAATTTTAAGACATTCTAGACATGACATTTTTCCTGATCGCTTAAGGACTGTTAATTATCTACAGAATCCAAGCCAAAGATCTTACACAGTTTACTATAACTATGTGAAGAATGTAATCTAGCTCCAAACCTCAGAGACTTGAGCTCAGGGAAGTATTCCCATTTCAAGTATATTTTCAAACATTTGTTAAGCATTTGCCCCTCACCAGCCACTACAGTAGGTATAAGTGAGGTAAGGCACCTCACTTTAAAGTCTGTATTTTGAAATGTGATTATATAAACACCAAACTTAAACAAATAATCCTGAACTCTTATGAGTTTGACCTTTACAGTACTCCTCTGTCTTTGTTTTTTTTTAATCCTCACCTGAGGATATTTCTCCATTGATTTTTAGATAGATTGGGAGGGAGGCAGAGAGGGAGGGAAGGAGAGAGAGAGAGAAACATTGGTGTGAGAGAGGTACACTGACTGGTTGCTTCCGGCAGGAACCCAACCAGGGCCAGGGATCGAACCCAAAACTCTGGTCCGAGGACTGACACTAACTGCTGAGCCAAACCAGCCAGGGCAGTACTCCTCTGTTTTTGAGATAGTGTTTTCTATTGGTATTTTGGTGATGGTGCTACAGCTCAAGTTCATATGTCTCTTTTGGAAACACGTAGTTTCTCTTTCCATTGTCAATTTGAACTAATGTACATAAAAGTCTTCATACACTTCAGTTCTGACAATAAGTAATCAAGAATACTATGTACACAATTACTGCAAACCTCAGAATCAGCAAGAAAAGGTCAGAAGGAGAGATCTGGAGCTCTCCTTTAAACCAGGCCTGCCCAAGGGCTTTGTTTCTCACCTTGACTCTCGGGTGCTTTCTGCAGTTTTAGGTCGTGGGCCAGAGTCAGAGTTTTTGTTTTGATTTCCTAATTGATGTGGAACCCCAGCTAGAGCCATATCTTCCTTCTCCTCTTGCTTGTCTCTTTTGAACGTTGTCCCTTCACCTTCAATTTCTGATTTTAAAAAACATTTGTTTAGTTAGAAATTCTTGAATAAAATCTAATTTCTTCTTACTGCACATTTAAATTTCATGTCTCTTTGTAAGCCAAATCTTAATGGTAGATAGAAATTGCAAAAGTTGCCCTGGCCGGTTTTGCTCAGTGGTTAGAGCACCAGCCTGCAGTCCAGAGAGACCCGGGTTCAGTTCTGGTAAGGGCATGTACCTCGGTTGCAGTTTGTCCCCGGCCCTGGTTGGCAGCCACTCGATGTGTCCATTTCACGTCGATGTTTCTCTCTCTCTCTCTTCCTCTCTCTCCCTCCTACTGTATCTGAACAAAAAATGGAAAAATGTCCTCGGGTGAGGTTCAAAAAAGAAAGAAATTTCAAAAGTTGTCCAGCCGGTGTGACTCAGTGGTTGAGCATCAACCCATGTACCAAGAGGTCGCCGGTTCGATTTCCGGTCAGGACACATGCCCAGGTTGTGGGCCTGATCCCCAGTGGGGGGCATGCAGGAGGCAGCCAATCGATGTTCTCTCTCATCGATGTTTCTATCTTTCTCTCCTCACTTCCTCTCTCTCTAAAAATCAATAAAGGAAAAAAAAAATTCAGAAAGCCCCAAGAGCCCTGGCCGGTTTGGCTCAGCTGTTAGAGCATCGACCTGTGGTCCAGAGAGACACAGGTTCGGTTCCCGCTAAGTGCACGTACCTCGGTTGCAGTTTGTCCCCGGCCCTGGTTGGGTCGTGCGGGTGGCAGCCACTCTGTGTCCCTTTCACGTCGATATTTCTCGATGTTTCTCTCTCTCTTCCTCCTACTCTATCTGAACAAAAAATGTCCTCGGGTGAGGATAAAAAAAAAAAAAAAGCCACAAGAAAAAAGTTGTGTTCAGTGTTTATAGAAACAAGCAGTAACTGTTTCAGTTTGGAATACTTACCCCTTTCTTTTTTTTTTAAGGAAGTTACTTTATTATTATTATTATTATTATTTGCGTTTATCTTCAGATAGAGCGGGAGAGAGAGAGGAAAGAAGAGAGACAGAGAAACATCGATGTGAGAGAGACACATTGAGTGGCTGCCACCCACACAACCCCAACTGGAGCTGGGGACAAACTGCAACCGAAGTACATGCCCTTAGCGGGAACCAAACCTGGGTCTCTCTGGTCCGCGGACCGACGCTCTAACCGCTGAGCGAAACCGGCCAGGGCTCATCCCCTTTCCTAAAGGTATCTGCTTATATACAGGGAGACAGCAAAAGCAGGTTTACAGGTGTTCGTATGGAAAAAGACATGCAGGTTATGATTATTATAGTAGCTGTATTAACGCAAAAGAATGTCATAATGGCTCCGTGAACCTACTTTCCCCCACCTTTGTATATAAGATACCCTCATGATTATCTTTATTTTAATATGGTTAAAACTGCATGTTTCTTATATTGAAAACTAAAAATTTGTTAAATAATGAATCCATTAATATAATACTTTATATAGATATTATATAGGTTTTTTTCCCCTTCAGAATATAGGTGCTCCCTTGGCTTTTCTTACTGTAGATGGCAGTAGTACATAAGATGTGTTGATTGACAGTGGAAATGCTCTAGAATGAGGTTTATTTGCTATATGATTTTCATAGCCTAACTGTAATCTGTTGTGAAAAGAAACCACAATTACATTTACATTAAGGTTGTCTGTTTTTTTTGTGGGGAAGGGGAAACTTTGTTTTCCTTATCAGATCAACTGAATACCGGAAGTAATTACCTCTAATTATCTCTCATTTTAATTTTGGATTTCAAAATTAAGTTTCAGTTTTATAAAGCATGTCTGAGTCATGACCTACATCGTTTTCCTGTCCTGTGTTCAGTGGTTGATCAGTTATGTTGACTTGGGTTTTGTTTCTTCAGACTGGCTGTCCTAATTTAAGAACTCATTTCATCTCACGTGAGCTTCTGACTTGTCTTTCCAATTCAAGTCTGTCATCTCCAGTTTGTTCATTCAGGAAATGTTTATTAAAGACTGACTATGTACCAGGCTCTGTGCTAAGAGAAGGGAGCAGAGTATTGCTAATCACTCTCAGATCAGAAGAGAATATCAGCTGACAATCTGACACAGAGGAAGGAAATACAGACTAGAACATAGCAGTTCATTTCCAAAGTCATTCTCAAAAATGATAACCTGTTTTCTGATGTCCTGTTTCCCTTCCTTCTTTTATTTTCTACAAAACCCTTTATTAACTCAAGTAAAACCCAGCCTGTAGGCTAATAACAGAGAGAGAAAGAACTTTTTTGTAATAATCCTGCACAGGTAGTGCAGTCAGGGGTAGGTAGGAACACTTAGAATTACTTTTTGGAGACCCCTGTTCTTGAAAGAGTAGACCAGAGACTGATCAAGTACTCAGATTTCCTCCTTTATTTTTTATTTTTTTGTTTTTTTTTTTTTTTGTTAATCCTCACTTGAGGATATTTTTCCAGTGAATTTAAAGAGTGTGGAAGGGAGGGAGGAGAGAGAAGCGAGTGATGATACATTGATGTGAGAGAGACACATTGATTGGTTGCCTCCTCCACACAACCTGATCAGGGTTTGGGATTGAACCTGCAACCCAGGTACATGCCCTCGACCGGGAATCACACCTGAGACCCTTCAGTGCACAGGCCGATGCTCCATCCACTGAGCCACCCCAGTCATGGCAAATTTTCCTTCTTAAGCTGTCATACTCAAGGTCAGTCTGATGTAGTGATTGTTGAAAACTATCTTTTATATTGTAGAGTATTCTCTTACTGGATTTTATATAATCCTTTCTAGAGTATCAATGTATAAAAAAACTACTTTTCTCCCATCATTTTAAAGCTGGGTCTTCTGTCTCAGGTCAGGAAATATTTATTGTACCTTTCCTGTGAGCACTGTGCTAGGCTCTGCAGACTTTCTCTCTGCCCTGAAGGCCTTGACGGAATGGAGGTGTGGATGTGGGATGGGATGCATGGAATGTTGGGAGGTCCAAATGCATTGTCTAGGATTCATATTTTCACACCAGACAAGCTTCCTAATGCCCTGTTTGATAATCCTTGCCATATTGTAGAGAATCAGAATTCTCCAGACATCTATCATTGTTTATGGTCTTTAAAAAAAAAAAAAAACAAAACTGATTTTAGAGAGAGAGGAAGGAAAAGGGAGAGAGAGAGAGAAAGAAAAAAATCAATAACACCAGTGGGTTGGTTGCCTCTTGTATGCACCCTGACCTGGGATCAAACTCAAAACCTGGGGATGTGCCCTGACTGGGAATCGAACCTGCAACCATTTGGTGTATGGGATCATGCTCCAACCAACTGAGCCACACTAGCCAGGGCTTTATTATTTCTTATTTATGTATTCATTTTATTAATCTTCACCCAAGGATACCTTTCCATTAATTTTTAGATAGAGTGGAAAGGAAGAACGGGGGCGGGGAGGGGGGTGGGAAGAGAAGAGAGACATCGATTGTTTTTCTCCCGCACGACCCAGACCGGGACTGGGAATCGAACCGCAGCTGATATACGTGTCCTTGACTGGAATTGAACCCAAGACCCTGCAGTCTGTGGGCCAACATTCTAACCACTGAGCAACCGGCCAGGGCATGGGAGTTTTATTTTTTAACTATAGAATTAATGTATTAAAATGATTTCCTAGGCATTTATATAATGTAATATTTCCCTAGACCCAAACTATCATAATGCCAAACAGAAGGTAACTAAAGTTCTTAAGCATTTAGTAAGTGAATAACTGTTGACTCGACTTTACTAAATCTGAACTCAGCCTGAAATGAAGATGAATCCTTCCCTTTGGTTCAGTGTGGAGCAAGTTAGCAACTAACTTAATGACTCAAATTAGCTCCTGGCTGCAGAAACAGGTTTCATGTGATCATGGAGACAAAAATTAATTAGCATTTTGACCTACATAAGATAGTAGAAATAAAACTGTTTATTTTGTTTTAAGAGCTGTCATTTAAAGATTATACATCCACATAGATGCTTTTCTCTCTTAACTGGAACTTACCCAAAGCCTTACTACTATGAACATTGGTGAGAGTAAACAAAAACAGGGCCCACAGTCATCCACATCGGGATAATCTCATTTCATTGCTCCCCATTCACTAGAGCAATGTATACCCTTTTTTTTTTTTTTAATGAAAATGCTTCAAAAGATATTCCTAGAATGCTAAATTGTTTTTGTATTAATGAGACTTGGAAGGCAATTTGGCAACACATCCCAAGGCATTTTTTTTTAAACGTATTTTTAAAATTAATTTGAGAGAGAGAGAGAAGCAAACATCAATGTGAAAGAAAAACATCGTTCAGTGGCCTCCTGAATGCGCCTGACTCAGGGATCAAACCTGCAACCTAGGTATGTGACCTGACTAGGAATTGAACCTGAGACGTTCCCGTGCACGGGACGACGCTCCAACCACAACTTTGGCCAGGGCACCAAAAAAACTTTTTTTAAAAGTTCATATTTTGCCTGGTCTATGTGGTTCAGTGGTTGAGCGTCAACCCATGCACTAAGAGGTTGCCAGTTCGATTCCTGGTCAGGGCACATGCCCAGGTTGTGGGCTCAATCCCAATAGGGGGACGTGCAGGAGGTAGCCATTCTCTTCTATCATGTTTCTCTCTCTCTCTCTAAAATCAATAAAAAACATTTTTAAAAAATCCATATCCTTAGTTTCATCAGTTCCTTTCCTGAAGTCTGTCCTTAGGAAATAGAAATTAAGGCCAAGATCATTGTACAAAAATGTTTATCACGTTTCTGTTTATAATACTGAATTGTAACACTGTAACTGTTTATAATACTGAATACAGTGGAACCTTGGTTCTTGAACTTCATTCATTCCGGAAGTCTGTTCGAGAAGCGATTTGTTCGAAAACCAAATCATTTTTTTCCCATTAGAAATAATGTAAATTGAATTAATTTGTCCAGACCCCCTAATGATTCCCTGTTTTAACCTTTCTGATATAGTACATGTCTAATGTACTGTTTAATCTATAAACAAACACTTCTTGCCTAGCCTTACATGAACCACTGTCAGCACCCGATCCGGGGGTGTCTTTCAGGAAGTTAGGGTGTAGCATCTTCCGGTTTTCACATATCATTACCTCCGAAAGGCTATCACCAGCTAACTGCTTTCATTTATCAAAATCAGCATCAGTTTCTCTGCCTCTTCAGTTGCCTGTGATCGATGTTTCTTTCACACCCTTAGCAGCGTTAGCACTCTTGATGGCCTCTTTATGTCTTAAGATTGTGCTAAACATCCATTTTGCCAGCAACAAAAGCAAAACAAAACACAAAAAACCCACAAAAGTATTCTCAACACAATTTCCTGAGTTGTTAACAACGTGAGGTTTTAGCTGTAAACTGACTGGCGGTCTCTCCTGTGTGGCCTCAGAGATGCTTTCTGCCATGCTGATGTATCAGCCTGAAATTGTTTCCGTGAACAGCTTGGGCGAGAACCGAACTGTTCAAAATGGGAGACACTGGAGAACCCAGGTTTGACTGTAATTGAATATCCATATACTGTATCTAATAGGAAATAATAATTTTACATGTTGGAATGTTTTACTGTCTTTAATGTCTTTGAAGGATATTTAATGACATGAGGACATGCTCTTGAAAAACTGATAAAAAGATAAAATTGCATCTGGGTAATAATCCAAATTGTATAATGTCTTTGCCTATACTTTGGACTGTGAAGATCTGATTTACTGTTACTCAGTTCTAGTAAATCAAGCTTGACTGGAATTAGGTTATGTAATTTCAAAGAAAGCTTAAGTTTTTCTGATTTTTAAAATATGGTCAGTTGCCAGCTAATCTTTCCAAATTGCTCTTCACTTGCTGAAACCTGCATTATGACCTCATGTCAGTATAAGATCCTGGGACACAAATGAATCAAAGGTATTGCTTATGTTTTAGATGATTAATATTAAGTGCATTTTGGACAGTTAGGTTTCCTCTTTGTAAGGTTAGCAGTCAACATTATGTTGTGCCTGTAGACTTTTCTTAATAACTCAGAATTTTATTTTTTTTTGTCCTAACTTTGCAGATTATAAGCACACCACAGAGACTGACCAGTTCAGGAAGTGTTCTGATTGGGAGTCCATACACCCCTGCACCAGCAATGGTCACTCAGACACACATAGCGGAAGCTACTGGCTGGGTCCCAGGGTAAGAGTATTGTTACAAGTTAACATTTTTAAAACTTTTAAAAGAATGTTCTGACCTTTTTTTCTCACAATCTTGTCTTCTTTTCTTGTTTCATGTTAGTCTAGTCCTTAAAAACTAATGGTCCTTCAAAGTAAAGTTACCTATTTTATTTCACTTCATATCTTAGATATAAACTCTTTATGGGGCAACCATTTTAAAACAGAGAAAAATATTATAATAATAATTTGTACCTGAATCTTCTGGCTTTTTTCAACCCTGAAAGAGAGCTACATTCTATGATTATGGCATTTAGCTGCTTTCAAGATGTCAAAACTATATTTTATATTGTTTTAATAAACATAAGAAAAGATATATTAAGTGTTGGCTATACTCAGAATTTCCCCTATGAATTCTTGTTTCCTTAAAAACCAGAAAAGGAACTAGGAAAAAGAGGCCAAATATATTAAAATTTTCATTTGAGTTTCCCCTTGATTTTGAAACACTTGATTCCTTTGAAACACTGGGCAATTAAATCAATACTTCTTCTGTGTTACTCAGTTGCCACTTTTAGTATCAAACCTTCATGTTTCCCCTTTGCCTGTAAAATACCCTTACCCAACTTTTTTCCGCTGCTTAACAGCTCATCTTTCCATAAAAGAAAAAAGAAATAATAAAATTAATGATGCAAAACTTTATTCTCTCACGTTTAAAAGTTATTTACATTGTTACTATTTACTTATTATTATTATTATTTAAATAATTTATTTTTTTCTCAGTATGTTTTTATTGATTTTTTAGAGAGAGGGGAACAGAGAGGGAGAGACAGAAACATCGATTGGCCACCTCCTGCACACCCCCACGGGGGATCGAGCCTACAACCTGGGCATGTGCCCTGACCAGGAATCAAACCAGTGACCTCTTGGGGCATGAGTCAACACTCAGCCACTGAGCCACACTGGCTGAGCTACATTGTTATTTAAATACTGCACTGTTGGTACTATCATTGATTTACAACTGGGGATTAAGTTGAATAACAATTCTGGCAAAGTGTTTTATGCCATGAACGCACATACATTAGAGACGGAAGAGTTTCATATGTGTTCATACTTTTCCATTATTAGATGAGATGAAATGACAGTCACCTGTCATTTCATGGCCTTTATTTGGTCCTAATGAACATTCTCAGGTAGAGGTAGAAGTTGTCTTGGATTTCTGCACAGCCCTGAGAGATTATAACGTGAAAGGTGTGCCTGTGCCGGTGGTGTTGGTCCACTTTGGAGATGACCGGGGCTGGGATATTTCAGCCCAGCTGTGCTTTATATATTGGAGGTGGTATGGTTGTCAGTGTTTCTATAGTCGTGATTCCAGAATAAATAAAACTTTTCTGTGCCTTTTCCTTGTAAACTTGCAATGTTTTCCTCCTTAAAGATTCATTGAACTCATTTCAAACTAGGTTATCATGTAGTGATTTCTTAGCCTTTTGATAAAATGAAAATTTTAAATTTATGGACATATCTTTTACATTTGTTAGTTTTTTGTTTTTTAATCCTCACCCAAAAATATTTTTCCATTGATTTCTTTTTAGATAAAATGAGAAGGAGGGAGGGAGGGAGGGAGAGAGAGAAACATGATAGAGAGACACATCAATTGGTCACCTCCTGCATGACCCCAACTGGGGCTGGGGTTGAATCCCCAACCTAGGTAAGTGCCCTTGACTGGGCATCAAACCCTCAACTTTTTGGTCATCGGGCTGACACTCTAACCTCTGAGCCAAACTGGCCAGGGCATATTTTTTAGTTACTGTGTTTGACTATATTTATTGTGGAATTAGACAAGTTATAATAAATTACTCATGAAAAAAGTAGTGTTTATATATGTTCTTTTCTTTTCTTTTTAGCGATAGAAAACGGGCTAGAGAATTTATAGACTCTGATTTTTCAGAAAGGTGAGTATGAGTGTGAGTATTTGGTTTGAGAGACGCTACTGCAGAGAGAGGTTTGGTTCCCAGACTCTAGTTTGAGTTAGTGAGATGTTTTTATTCATATAACTTTAAGTGTATGAATTTCTACCATTATTTCATACCACATTGAGTATTCTACTTATCATTACATCAATTTCTTATATTTGTGTGGTTTCAAAAGAAATTGTCCTGTGAATAGATTGGCTGTTGGTAATATGTCATTTAGCTTCCTCCCTCTGTTTGGGAAATGCATTTTTCTACCAAAGGGAATACTCCGCATTACTTCAGCATGCCCAAATTAAAAAAAAACACAAAACGGGTTTGATTGAACACATTTGAAAATCATAGTAAATTCTAACTTCTTTATCAAATACTATATCAAGTATAATGTAACCTTTCCTTAGACTGTTAGGACAGTGGTTCTCAGTTCTCCGTGTGTATCAGAATCACCTGTGGTCTGTTGAGAAACTATAAATGCCTGCCTACCAACTGAGAAACTCCATATTAAAAACTATCACTTTATGGTCATTATTTGAATTTAGGTTCCACAATCCATGCAAGTCACTATACAAGGTATGATATTAATATTGCACTGTTAAAATAAGATGTGTAGCGCTGCCAGTGTGGCTCACTGGTTGAGGGTCATACCATGCACCAGGAGGTTGCCGGTTCAATTCCTGGTCAGGGCACATGCCCAGGTTGCAGGCTTGATTCCCAGTAGGGGGCGTGCAGGAGGCAGCCAGTCCCTGTTTCTCTCTCTCCCTTCCTCTCTCTGGTATCAATTAAAAAAAAAGATGTATAGTCTTAGAGGCAGTTGAATTCTGTAAGATTGCTACTATTTTAAATAAAACCTTGCCAGTTATGCTTTTTAAATTTTATTTTTGATTCTGAGATTTTTGTAATTCCCTTTTTCAATGGTATTTCAGTCTGTTGGGTCATTTGCTCTCGATATAATAGTTCTCTGTCTTTTCCATTTTCTAATTGGCAATCTCTGACTTTCTGGCACTGAGAAACTAGATGGCCAATTGTGTTAGAATTCAGTCTAAAATAAAAGTGAATAGACTCTGAGTAAGGACCTTGGGGCTGTAGATTTAAACAGTGTGTTTTCTTGACACGGCTCTGCTTGAATTCCTTGTTGGCCTTTGTTGCTTGCTTCTTGGTTCTTAACTGTTTTCAACACAAAATCATGTCTTAGGAACTGCTGTATCATATTGAAATATATGAGAAAATGTGCTTTTCTCTCTAATGGAAAATCCTCTTTCCAACTCATCCTGGTCTTTGTGTTTATTCTAGGATAGGGTAGCAGTATAAGTTCTTGCAGCTGTATTTAGTAATGTTTAAGGCCTTAAAGTAGAACTAGTCATTAGTTATGATTGATGGCACCTATGTCCTGCAAATAACATAAACCTTAAGATTCTCTTTACGTTCTCCTTCACAAGAAAAAGACTTCTAGCTTTGGCTGGTTTGGCTCAGTGGTTAAGGTCACGGGTTCAATTCCCAGTCAAGGGCACGTACTTTGGTTGCAGGTTTGACCTCTGGCCCCCATAGGGGTTGTGAGGGAGGCAGCCAGTCGATGTGTCTCTCACATCAGTGTTTCTTTCTCTCTCTCTCTCTCTCTCTCTCTCTCTCTCCCCTTCCCTCCCACTCTATCTAAAAATCAATGGGAAAATATCCTTGGGTGAGGATTAACAAGAAAAAGAAAGAAAGAAAAAGACCTCTAAAGATCACATTAAAAGTGTTAGGTTAAATTTGTGGGTGTAAACATTGATTCGATCTTCCCTTTCTGCATCTGGGTTCATTAACCTTATTTTATTTTTTGGTTTTGCTTTTTATTATTCTCTTATTATTTTTTAAATTAATTTATTATTGTTGTTGTTGTTGTTAATCCTCACCTAGGGTATTTTTTTCTGTTATTTTTTTTTTTAGAGAAAGTGGAATGGAGCCCGGCCGGTGTGGTTCAGTGGTTGGGCGTCGACCCATGCACCAAGAGGTCACCGGTTTGGTTCCCGGTCAGGGCACATGCCCAGGTTGTGGGCCAAGTCCCGAGTGAGGGGACATGCAGGAGGTGGCCAATTGATGTTCTCCCTCATTGATGTTTCTCTCTAACCACTGAGCCAAACTAGCCGGGGCTTGATGTTTCTCTCTCTCTCTCTCTCTCCCTCTCTCTTTAAAAATCAATAAAGAAAAAAAGAAAAATTTTTTAAAAAAAGAGAAAATGGAAAGGGTGGGGTGAAGAAAACGAAACATCAATGTGAGAAAGAGAAATCAATTGTTGCCTTCCACACATACCCTGACCAGAGCTGAGGAGCGAACCTGCAACCCAGGTACATGCCTTTGACTAGGAATTAAACCCAAGACCCTTTGGTGTGCAGACCTATGCTCTAACCACTGAACCACACTGGCCAAGGCCTCTTTTTATTTTATTTTTTTAAAATAATTTTTCTTTATTGATTTTAGAGAGAGGAAAGGCAAGGGAAAGAGATAAAGACATCAATGAGAGAAAACATCGATTGGCTGCCTCGCTGGGGATTGGCTATCCCCACTGGGGATTGGGCCCACAACCTGGGCATGTGCCCTCACCAGGAATCGAACTGGTGACGTCTTGGTGCCCAACGACTGAGCCACACCAGACGGGCTCTTTTTATTTTTTAAATGTGATTTTTCTGTAGTGAACTCCCTCCCCCAAATCAAACCACAAACATTACTACATGTGGTTTTTATTGTTGTTCTTACAAATGTTTATTTTCCTTCAAATTTATTGTATTTTTCTATAATGCTGTGAAAAGTCTTTGTTTCTCGTCTCCCATGTGTTCAGGTTAAAAAAACCAGTTCTCAACCATGGAATAATCTTGATCTCTTCAATGCCTCGTATGTTGATTTAATATGATATGTAAATATTTATATTGGTTTTCCTCAGGGATTTATACATCAACATATGTAAATATATACAAGCTTTTTATCCTCATTTACTACTTAACAGTACAACTTTAGGTATTTATATATTTATTTATTTTTTATTTTTTTAATCTTCACCCAAGGACATTCTTACATTTATCTTCAGATAGACTGGAAGGGGGGGGGGGGACATCGATGTGAGAGAGACACATCGACTGGTTGCCACCCACACAACCCCAACTGGGGCCGGGGACAAACTGCAACCGAGGTACATGCCCTTAGCCGGAACCAAACCCGGGTCTCTTCGGTCCGCGGGCCGACGCTCCAACCGCTGAGCCAAACCTGCCAGGGCAGGGCTAGGTATTTTTATACAACTGTTCCTTGGTTAAGGTCACTTGCAGAAGCAAGTTGGTTTCTGAGGAAATCTTGTTTGGTGGGTGAAGGATCCATTGAGAGATTCTCATTAGTTTTTCCCTGTTTTCTGATCCACTGGGCTTCTTCCCACAGAGCTTGCAGAAGGCGCTATCTTGCCTCTTTCTGGTCTTGCCTGGGATTTTGATCCTGGAAGATGTTTGTTCATTTTCTCTTTTTACCTTTGGACAGAATCTGATGGTGTCTTTTAAATGCAAATAGGTCTATTTTCACTTTGGGACTTCTGGGGTAATTAGGTCCTTAAGATGTTTTTTCTGTTGGAATTCAGTTAAAATTTTGTTTATTTATGATAAACTAATATAATTTAAACTCTAATAAGAATAATAAAAATCTGTATAGTTAATATCTGTACTGCTTAATGATGTCTCTGAAGTTGTTCATTCAACCAGTATTATGAAGATCTATTAAGTGTTGCTATGTTCTAGGCATTGGAGAGACTAATAAACAAGAGAAAAGCCTCTGCCCTTAAAGAGTTGTTATGGGGGTGGACAGTAAACAAATAAGATCCTTTTAGACTGTGATAAGTGGTGTGCAAAAAAATAAGAAGGGTGGTTTGTGGATTATTGGCAGGACGGTGGTTACCTTAGAGAAGGCCTCTCTAAGGAGGTAACATTTGAATGCAAAGAAGTCAGGCCTGGGGATGTGGTAGAACCAGGGATTCTGGGGAGAGGGAATGAATGGCAAATGCAAAGTGCCTGCCTGAGGAACCAGGTTGATGCATCTGGGGAAGCACAGTGGCTTGGAGATAGAAAGAGTGATATGAGATGAGGATGGAGAGGTAGTCGGGTCAGATCATGAAAGGCCTTATAGGCCACAATGAGGAATTTGGTTTTTATTTTAAGGAGGATTTTAAGAAGGGAAATGATATGCTAGTTTACATTGGCTGCTGAGGGGGAAATGGATTCTAGGAGACAGGAACAGAAGCAGGGAAATCAGAAGGCTGTTGGAGGGGCAGTGGCTTGGCAGTGGAGATGGCAAAAATGAATTCGTTTTGGAGGTAGAACCCACAGGTTTATTGATAGATGAATGAAGTAAAGGGGTCAATAAAGGATGGCTGTTGTTGGGTTGTTGTTTTTTTTGGTATGAACAGCTGGGTGAATATTGATGCCAGTTACATTTATTGTTAGGGGTAGGTGTGGGGAGGGATTGAATTTTGTTTTAGACATAAGAAGTTCAAGAAGTTTATTAGTGATCTAAGTGATAATATTATTAGTATATAAGTAATTCATCAGCATAAATAAATGATCATGGGCCTGGATGACATACCCCAATAGGGAGATAAAGGTCCATAAGGAATAAACATTTATTTCCCATCTCAAGTTCCCCCATCTCCAGATATACCCAATGGATATATACTTACAGGAAAGTGAGGTTTTTTCTAAATTATTTTATTAAATTATTAAATTATCTTGCTGATTTAGACATTCTGGTTGACTCATTTTAATGAGAAAGTTTTTATTATATATTGTATATAATTTATTTAAATGTAGCACATTTATTACAACTTATACCTGAGATATACTGCTATATACTGCAAATTTAGTTTTATATTAGTTTTGTAAATAAAAATAAAATATTAGGAAAATATAAAAAGACAGTGGTTGTGGATTCCTGTTAAGTGCCTGGAAAGATAAATACTTTTTCTTTCTTTATTTATT